CAAGCGTGGTGTAATTTATATTAATGGACGGGCAAGCGTAGTGTAATTTATACAGAAAGAGACGGGCAAGGATTCATTTGCATACGGCTTCAGTGCTATGATAGCCATGTGAAAATGCGCTTTAAAATTCCCCTGAGCCAAACCTATCTCCGTTAATATGCGTTTTGAAGCTTCCTAAGTCGGTCTATGACGAAAAAATTTTTTCGATCAGCCAAAAATTTTCTAAGTGTCAAGTCTAGCTTTACTTGACTCCGAAATCCGGGCAAGCGTAGTGTAATTTATATTGAAAGAGACGGGCAAGGATTCATTTGCATACGGCTTCAGTGCTATGATAGCTATGTGAAAATGCGCTTTAAAATTCCCCTGAGCCAAACCTATCTCCGTTAATATGCGTTTTGAACCTTCCTAAGTTGGTCTATGACGAAAAATTTTTTTCGATCAGCCAAAAATTTTCTAAGTGTCAAGTCTAGCTTTACTTGACTCGGAAATCCGGGCAAGCGTAGTGTAATTTATATTGAAAGAGACGGGTAAGGATTCATTTGCATACGCCTTCAGTGCTATGATAGCCATGTGAAAATGCGCTTTAAAATTTCCCGGAGCCAAACCTATCTCCGTCAATATGCGTTTTGAACCTTCCTAAGTTGGTCTATGACGAAAAATTTTTTTCGATCAGCCAAAAATTTTCTAAGTGTCAAGTCTAGCTTTACTTGACTCGGAAATCCGGGCAAGCGTAGTGTAATTTATATTGAAAGAGACGGGTAAGGATTCATTTGCATACGCCTTCAGTGCTATGATAGCCATGTGAAAATGCGCTTTAAAATTTCCCGGAGCCAAACCTATCTCCGTCAATATGCGTTTTGAACCTTCCTAAGTTGGTCTATGACGAAAAATTTTTTTCGATCAGCCAAAAATTTTCTAAGTGTCAAGTCTAGCTTTACTTGACTCGGAAATCCGGGCAAGCGTAGTGTAATTTATATTGAAAGAGACGGGTAAGGATTCATTTGCATACGCCTTCAGTGCTATGATAGCCATGTGAAAATGCGCTTTAAAATTTCCCGGAGCCAAACCTATCTCCGTCAATATGCGTTTTGAACCTTCCTAAGTTGGTCTATGACGAAAAATTTTTTTCGATCAGCCAAAAATTTTCTAAGTGTCAAGTCTAGCTTTACTTGACTCGGAAATCCGGGCAAGCGTAGTGTAATTTATATTGAAAGAGACGGGCAAGCGTAGTGTAATTTATACAGAAAGAGACGGGCAAGGATTCATTTGTATACGGCTTCAGTGCTATGATAGCTATGTGAAAATGCGCTTTACAATTCCCCTGAGCCAAACCTATCTCCGTCAATATGCGT